GATGTACAGACAAGGCCGTGTGTCTAGGTAGACAATGTGAGATGTACAGACAAGGCCGTGTGTCTAGGTAGACAACGTGAGATGTACGGACAAGGCCACGTCTAGGTAGACAATGTGAGATGTACAGACAAGGCCGTGTGTCTAGGTAGACAATGTGAGATGTACGGACAAGGCCGTGTGTCTAGGTGGACAATGTGAGATGTACAGACAAGGCCGTGTGTCTAGGTAGACAATGTGAGATGTACAGACAAGGCCGTGTGTCTAGGTATACAACGTGAGATGTACAGACAAGGCCACGTGTCTAGGTAGACAATGTGAGATGTACGGACAAGGCCACGTCTAGGTAGACAATGTGAGATGTACAGACAAGGCCGTGTGTCTAGGTGGACAACGTGAGATGTACGGACAAGGCCGTGTGTCTAGGTAGACAATGTGAGATGTACAGACAAGGCCGTGTGTCTAGGTAGACAATGTGAGATGTACAGACAAGGCCGCGTCTAGGTAGACATTGTGAGATGTACAGACAAGGCCACGTCTATGTAGACAACGTGAGATGTACGGACAAGGCCACGTCTAGGTAGACAATGTGAGATGTACAGACAAGGCCGTGTGTCTAGGTAGACAATGTGAGATGTACAGACAAGGCCGTGTGTCTAGGTAGACAATGTGGGATGTACAGACAAGGCCACGTCTAGGTAGACAATGTGAGATATACGGACAAGGCCGCGTGTCTAGGTAGACAATGTGAGATGTACGGACAAGGCCGCGTGTCTAGGTAGACAATGTGAGATATACGGACAAGGCCGTGTGTCTAGGTAGACAATGTGAGATGTACAGACAAGGCCGTGTGTCTAGGTAGACAATGTGAGATGTACAGACAAGGCCGCGTCTAGGTGGACAATGTGAGATGTACGGACTAGGCCACGTCTAGGTGGACAATGTGAGATGTACGGACAAGGCCGTGTGTCTAGGTAGACAATGTGAGATGTACAGACAAGGCCACGTCTAGGTAGACAATGTGAGATGTACGGACAAGGCCGTGTGTCTAGGTAGACAATGTGAGATGTACAGACAAGGCCACGTCTAAATAGACAATGTGAGATGTACGGACAAGGCCACGTCTAGGTAGACAATGTGAGATGTACAGACAAGGCTACGTCTAGGTAGACAATGTGAGATGTACGGACTAGGCCGCGTCTAGGTGGACAATGTGAGATGTACAGACAAGGCCACGTCTAGGTGGACAATGTGAGATGTACGGACAAGGCCACGTCTAGGTAGACAATGTGAGATGTACGGACAAGGCCACGTCTAGGTAGACAATGTGAGATGTACAGACAAGGCGTGTCTAGGTAGACAATGTGAGATGTACGGACTAGGCCGCGTCTAGGTGGACAATGTGAGATGTACAGACAAGGCGTGTCTAGGTAGACAATGTGAGATGTACGGACTAGGCCGCGTCTAGGTAGACAATGTGAGATGTACAGACAAGGCCGTGTGTCTAGGTGGACAATGTGAGATGTACGGACAAGGCCACGTCTAGGTAGACAATGTGAGATGTACAGACAAGGCCGTGACTAGGTAGACAATGTGAGATGTACAGACAAGGCCACGTCTAGGTAGACAATGTGAGATGTACAGACAAGGCCGTGTGTCTAGGTAGACAATGTGAGATGTACGGACAAGGCCGTGTGTCTAGGTAGACAATGTGAGATGTACGGACAAGGCCGTGTGTCTAGGTAGACAATGTGAGATGTACAGACAAGGCCACGTCTAGGTGGACAATGTGAGATGTACGGACTAGGCCATGTCTAGGTAGACAATGTGAGATGTACAGACAAGGCCACGTCTAGGTAGAGATGTACAGACAAGGCCGTGACTAGGTAGACAATGTGAGATGTACAGACAAGGCCGTGTGTAGGTAGACAATGTGAGATGTACAGACAAGGCCGTGTCTAGGTGGACAATGTGAGATGTACGGACAAGGCCGTGTCTAGGTAGACAATGTGAGATGTACAGACAAGGCCGTGTGTCTAGGTAGACAATGTGAGATGTACAGACAAGGCCGTGTGTCTAGGTAGACAACGTGAGATGTACGGACAAGGCCACGTCTAGGTAGACAATGTGAGATGTACAGGACAAGGCCGTGTGTCTAGGTAGACAATGTGAGATGTACGGACAAGGCCGTGTGTCTAGGTGGACAATGTGAGATGTACAGACAAGGCCGTGTGTCTAGGTAGACAATGTGAGATGTACAGACAAGGCCGTGTGTCTAGGTATACAACGTGAGATGTACAGACAAGGCCACGTGTCTAGGTAGACAATGTGAGATGTACGGACAAGGGCCACGTCTAGGTAGACAATGTGAGATGTACAGACAAGGCCGTGTGTCTAGGTGGACAACGTGAGATGTACGGACAAGGCCGTGTGTCTAGGTAGACAATGTGAGATGTACAGACAAGGCCGTGTGTCTAGGTAGACAATGTGAGATGTACAGACAAGGCCGCGTCTAGGTAGACATTGTGAGATGTACAGACAAGGCCACGTCTATGTAGACAACGTGAGATGTACGGACAAGGCCACGTCTAGGTAGACAATGTGAGATGTACGGACAAGGCCGTGTGTCTAGGTAGACAATGTGAGATGTACAGACAAGGCCGTGTGTCTAGGTAGACAATGTGGGATGTACAGACAAGGCCACGTCTAGGTAGACAATGTGAGATGTACGGACAAGGCCGCGTGTCTAGGTAGACAATGTGAGATGTACGGACAAGGCCGCGTGTCTAGGTAGACAATGTGAGATATACGGACAAGGCCGTGTGTCTAGGTAGACAATGTGAGATGTACAGACAAGGCCGTGTGTCTAGGTAGACAATGTGAGATGTACAGACAAGGCCGCGTCTAGGTGGACAATGTGAGATGTACGGACTAGGCCACGTCTAGGTGGACAATGTGAGATGTACGGACAAGGCCGTGTGTCTAGGTAGACAATGTGAGATGTACAGACAAGGCCACGTCTAGGTAGACAATGTGAGATGTACGGACAAGGCCGTGTGTCTAGGTAGACAATGTGAGATGTACGGACAAGGCCACGTCTAGGTGGACAATGTGGGATGTACGGACAAGGCCGTGTGTCTAGGTAGACAACGTGAGCTGTACGGACAAGGCCGCGTGTCTAGGTAGACAACGTGAGATGTACGGACAAGGCCGTGTGTCTAGGTAGACAACGTGAGATGTACAGACAAGGCCGTGTGTGTCTAGGTAGACAATGTGAGATGTACAGACAAGGCCGTGTGTCTAGGTAGACAACGTGAGATGTACGGACAAGGCCGTGTGTCTAGGTAGACAACGTGAGATGTACGGACAAGGCCGTGTGTCTAGGTGGACAATGTGAGATGTACGGACAAGGCCGTGTGTCTAGGTAGACAACGTGAGATGTACGGACAAGGCCGTGTGTCTAGGTAGACAACGTGAGATGTACGGACAAGGCCGTGTGTCTAGGTAGACAATGTGAGATGTACAGACAAGGCCACGTCTAGGTAGACAATGTGAGATGTACGGACAAGGCCGTGTGTCTAGGTAGACAATGTGAGATGTACGGACAAGGCCACGTCTAGGTGGACAATGTGGGATGTACGGACAAGGCCGTGTGTCTAGGTAGACAACGTGAGCTGTACGGACAAGGCCGCGTGTCTAGGTAGACAACGTGAGATGTACGGACAAGGCCGTGTGTCTAGGTAGACAACGTGAGATGTACAGACAAGGCCGTGTGTGTCTAGGTAGACAATGTGAGATGTACAGACAAGGCCGTGTGTCTAGGTAGACAACGTGAGATGTACGGACAAGGCGGTGTGTCTAGGTAGACAACGTGAGATGTACGGACAAGGCCGTGTGTCTAGGTGGACAATGTGAGATGTACGGACAAGGCCGTGTGTCTAGGTAGACAACGTGAGATGTACGGACAAGGCCGTGTGTCTAGGTAGACAACGTGAGATGTACGGACAAGGCCGTGTGTCTAGGTAGACAATGTGAGATGTACAGACAAGGCCACGTCTAGGTAGACAATGTGAGATGTACAGACAAGGCCACGTGTGTCTAGGTAGACAACGTGAGCTGTACGGACAAGGCCGTGTGTCTAGGTGGACAACGTGAGCTGTACGGACAAGGCCGTGTGTCTATGTGGACAACGTGAGATGTACAGACAAGGCCACGTCTAGGTAGACAATGTGAGATGTACGGACAAGGCCGTGTGTCTAGGTAGACAATGTGAGATGTACAGACAAGGCCGTGTGTCTAGGTAGACAACGTGAGATGCACAGACAAGGCCGTGTGTCTAGGTAGACAATGTGAGATGTACGGACAAGGCCGTGTGTCTAGGTAGACAACGTGAGCTGTACGGACAAGGCCGTGTGTCTATGTAGACAACGTGAGCTGTACGGACAAGGCCGTGTGTCTAGGTAGACAACGTGAGATGTACGGACAAGGCCGCGTGTCTAGGTAGACAATGTGAGCTGTACGGACAAGGCCGCGTGTCTAGCTAGACAACGTGAGCTGTACGGACAAGGCCGTGTGTCTATGTGGACAACGTGAGCTGTACGGACAATGCCGCGTGTCTAGGTGGACAACGTGAGCTGTACGGACAAGGCCGTGTGTCTAGGTAGACAATGTGAGATGTACAGACAAGGCCGTGTGTCTAGGTAGACAACGTGAGCTGTACGGACAAGGCCGTGTGTCTAGGTAGACAATGTGAGATGTACAGACAAGGCCACGTGTGACTAGGTAGACAATGTGGGATGTACGGACAAGGCCGTGTGTCTAGGTGGACAACGTGAGCTGTACGGACAAGGCCGTGTGTCTAGGTAGACAATGTGAGATGTACGGACAAGGCCGTGTGTCTAGGTAGACAACGTGAGATGTACGGACAAGGCCGTGTGTGTCTAGGTAGACAATGTGAGATGTACGGACAAGGCCGTGTGTCTATGTGGACAACGCGGACACACCGGTCGGACAGAAATGGGCTTCAGGCGACATGCAGGTTGTGGGCTCCACCCCCGCGGTCAGCGAAGGCTCCTCGGGGCCGTTCCGACTGAGACACCGCAGGGAGACACACGCAGACACACAAAGACAAAGGTCACCCGCGTAGCCTCGGCGGACGACCGGGGCAAGTGCTGCTGGGTGGGGCCCTCTGCCTTTGTCTCCCCGGATGGCGATGTTCACTACGCACCGCGCCGGGTACGCTCGTTTGAGGCTGAGTTGATCTAGGGGGGGGAGAGGGGGCTGGGGGCGGGGGGGGAGATCCCAGCGCCGGTTCGAAATATTCGCGACGGACGCTCACAGGACACGCGCGCACACAGACACACACACACAGACACATTCACATAGACACACATTCACACACACACATTCACATAGACACACATTCACACACACACACACACATTCACATAGACACACATTCACACAGACACACACACACATTCACACACACACATTCACACAGACACAGACACACATTCACATAGACACACACACACATTCACACAGACACACACACATTTACACAGACACACACACATTCACACATTCACACACACACACACATTCACACAGACACACAGAGACACACACAGACATTCACACACACACACACAGACACACACACACAGACACACACACATTCACATAGACACACACACACATTCACACAGACACACACACATTTACACAGACACACACACATTCACACATTCACACACACACACATTCACACAGACACACAGAGACACACACAGACATTCACACACACATTCACACACACACATTCACACACATTCACACAGACACACATTCACACAGACACACATTTACACACACACACACACATTCACACAGACACACACACACACATTCACACAGACACACACACATACATTCACACACACACACATTCACACACAGACACACACATTCACACAGACACACACACACATTCAGACACACACACATTCACACACACACATTCACATAGACACACATTCACACACACATTCACACAGAGACACACACATTCACACAGACACACACACACAGACACACACACACACATTCACACAGAGACACACACAGACATTCACACACACACACATTCACACACACAGACACACATTCACACACACATTCACACAGACACACATTCACACAGACACACATTTACACACACACACATTCACACAGACACACACACACATTCACACACACACATTCACATAGACACACATTCACACACACATTCACACAGAGACACACACATTCACACAGACACACACACACAGACACACACACACACATTCACACAGAGACACACACAGACATTCACACACACACACATTCACACAGACACACATTTACACACACACACACATTCACACAGACACACACACACATTCACACAGAGACACACACATTCACACAGACACACACACACATTTACACACACACATTCACACATTCACACACACACATTCACACACACAGACACACATTAACACACATTCACACAGACACACATTCACACACACACATTCACGTAGACACACAAAGATCAAAGATCCCCCATATAGCCTTAACATAGACACACACACATTCACACACACACACATTCACACAGAGACACACACACTCACACAGACACACACACATTCACACAGAGACACACACACTCACACAGACACACACACATTCACACAGACACACATTCACACAGACACACACACACATATTTACACAGACACAATTTCACACATATTCACACAGACACACATTCACACGCACACATTCACATAGACACACAAAGATCAAAGATCCCCCATATAGCCTTAACATAGACACACACATTCACGCACACACATTCACACAGAGACACACACACTCACACAGACACACACACATTCACACAGACACACACACACATTTACACAGACACACACACACACATTCACACACACACATTCACACAGAGACACACACACATTCACACAGACACACACACACATTTACACACACACACACATTCACACATTCACCCACACACACATTAACACAGACACACACACACACATTCACACAGACACACACACACATTCACACACACACACATTCACACAGACACAGACACACATTCACACAGACCCACACACACATTCACACAGACACACACACACATTTACACACACACATTCACACAGACACACACACATTCACACAGACACACACACACATTCACACAGACACACACACACATTCACACAGACACAAACACACATTCACACACACATTCACACAGACACACACATTCACACAGACACACACACATTCACACAGACACACACACATTTACACACACACATTCACACAGAGACATACACATTCACACAGACACACACACATTCACACAGACATACACACACATTTTCACAGACACACATTCACACAGACACACACATTCACACAGACACACATTCACACACACATTCACACAGAGACACACACACATTCACACAGAGACACACACATTCACACAGACACACATTCACACAGACACACACACATTCACACAGACACACATTCACACAGACACACACATTCACACAGACACACACACACATTCACACACACACATTCACACAGACACACGCACATTTACACAGACACACACACATTCACACGGACACACACATTTACACAGACACACACACATTCACACAGACACACACACATTCACACAGACACACACACATTCACACAGACACACACACATTCACATAGACACACACACATTAACACAGACACACACACATTTACACAGACACACATTCACACAGACACACACACTCACACAGACACACACACATTTACACAGACACACATTCACACAGACACACACACACATTCACACAGACACACACACACATTTACACACACACATTCACACAGACACACACACACATTCACACAGACACACACATACAGACACACACACACATTCACACAGACACACACATTTAACAGACACATTAACAGAGACACACACATTTACACAGACACACATATTTACACAGACACACATTGACACAGACACACATTCACACACACATTCACACAGACACATTAACACACACATTCACACACACACACACATTAACACAGACACACACACACATTCACACAGAGACACACACACTCACACAGACACACATTCACACAGACACACATTCACACACACATATTTACACAGAAACACATTCACACACATTCACACAGACACACATTCACACACACACATTCACATAGACACACAAAGATCAAAGATCCCCCATATAGCCTTAACATAGACACACACACATTCACACACACACATTCACACAGAGACACACACACTCACACAGACACACACACACATTCACACAGACACACACACACATTTACACAGACACACACACATTCACACAGACACACACACATTCACACAGACACACACACATTTACACACACACATTCACACAGAGACATACACATTCACACAGACACACACACATTCACACAGACATACACACACATTTTCACAGACACACATTCACACAGACACACACATTCACACAGACACACATTCACACACACACACATTCACACAGAGACACACACACATTCACACAGAGACACACACATTCACACAGACACACATTCACACAGACACACACACATTCACACAGACACACATTCACACAGACACACACATTCACACAGACACACACACACATTCACACACACACATTCACACAGACACACGCACATTTACACAGACACACACACATTCACACGGACACACACATTTACACAGACACACACACATTCACACAGACACACACACATTCACACAGACACACACACATTCACACAGACACACACACATTCACATAGACACACACACATTAACACAGACACACACACATTTACACAGACACACATTCACACAGACACACACATTCACACAGACACACACACATTTACACAGACACACATTCACACAGACACACACACACATTCACACAGACACACACACACATTTACACACACACATTCACACAGACACACACACACATTCACACAGACACACACATACAGACACACACACACATTCACACAGACACACACATTTAACAGACACATTAACAGAGACACACACATTTACACAGACACACATATTTACACAGACACACATTGACACAGACACACATTCACACACACACACATTCACACAGACACATTAACACACACATTCACACACACACACATTAACACAGACACACACACACATTCACACAGAGACACACACACTCACACAGACACACACATTCACACAGACACACATTCACACACACACACATATTTACACAGAAACACATTCACACACATTCACACAGACACACATTCACACACACACATTCACATAGACACACAAAGATCAAAGATCCCCCATATAGCCTTAACATAGACACACACACATTCACACACACACATTCACACAGAGACACACACACTCACACAGACACACACACACATTCACACAGACACACACACACATTTACACAGACACACACACATTCACACAGACACATTCACACAGAGACACACACACATTCACACAGACACACACACACATTTACACACACACACATTCACACACACACATTCACACAGACACACGCACATTTACACAGACACACACACATTCACACGGACACACACATTTACACAGACACACACACATTCACACAGACACACACACATTCACACAGACACACACATTCACACAGACACACACACATTCACATAGACACACACACATTAACACAGACACACACACATTTACACAGACACACATTCACACAGACACACACATTCACACAGACACACACACATTTACACAGACACACATTCACACAGACACACACACACATTCACACAGACACACACACACATTTACACACACACATTCACACAGACACACACACACATTCACACAGACAC